CTGGCTGCAGTCCGCGGGTCGGTTCTAATAATAAATCAATATCATCCCAGGGGCCACTGAAAACATTCTCGCGGGCCGGATTTGGCCCGCGGGCCGGCACTTTGACATATGTGGGTTAGGGGGACAGAAGATTGAAGTAAAGCGCGGGGGGGGAGGGGGGGGTGTCCAAACGATGGCGCGGGGGCCCGATTTGCGGCCCGCCATCCATTTTTCACGTCATGAATGCGCTACGGCAGAGCTCACAGAATCCAAGCGAGGAAAAGCCCATCTCGGTGTGCCGTCCGAACTGGAGGCAGAAAAACAGAGCGCCAGGACACCGCCACTGAGCCCCGCCCGGCACACTGCAAATGAATTCATTCCATGACAATATCAGAAAACGTCGTGATGTTTTACAATATATTTTGCAAATGGGAAAAGAGTCTGGTTTTTGTTTTTTTACACTGGAAGAGTTTTGGAAGTTTGACATACTCCTCTGTCATTTTTTATATTCTACGATTGGTATTAATTGGAAAATGCAGCTGGGCAGAACAACGTTGAAGAAGGGACAAACAGAGGGGGGAAAAAAAAGAAAAAGCAAACCGCAAGTAACACCCGCTTAACCACTTGCCTGCCGACTGAGTAACGTTGTCACCTTGCCACGTGACCGATACACCAAGTGGCATACCGTGACAGCGCCACAATTCTCTTTTGGAAACACGGGAAGGGAGGTTCACCACGTTTTCCCTCACTACTGATCCAGCATTTCCTCTGGAAACAAGCATCAATCCTCCTGCTAAAAAGCTAAAAAAAATAAAAAAAAACACCAACAAGTTGAAGTGTGTAAGCATTGTTGGTGGAATGACACGAGAGTGCTAAACGCACAACGCAGCCCGGTAGCTATTTCCTGCCTTGCAACGGCACGAGTTTGTTATCAGCAACCCGCTCGCAGGTGACTCATGCGGGCAGTGAACAATGACACCGCGGAAGGAAAGGTTGCCAGGTTACGAGTGCAGCTTTGACTGACGCGGCGCCAATACAAGTCAGATGGAAAATCGCGCAAAATGGCAAAGAATCGCAACGTTACACCGATGTTGACGTTACTCTCTTGTGCCTTTCGCACCGATGGCTGTCTGAGTGTAGAGCGAGAAAGAAATTCTGTGGGGATAGAAATCCAATCCTTTTGTCATCATATCAACGGTCTGTTTTCCACTGCCTGCAGGGCCCTTGATCTTAACTCCTCCAAAAATTGTTGTTCGGTCACTTGATGGGAGGGCTCTCGTGGGTATCCACAAACGCGGGAATTTCTGCTCAGCACATTCTGGACCTGTTTTACAGGAGGAGCTTCCAGCATTTAAAAAAAAAAAAAAAAAACTAGAAAATGACCACAGATTAAAAGAGAGAACATGCAAGAAAGTGGAACAATTTGCAATCATAGAAAAATAGATGTTTCACAATCATACTTAACCATATTTACAATTTTATATGAGCCATTGGATGAAATAGTAAAGCGTGTGCAAAAAAAAAAAAAAAAAAAATCTGAGCTTCCTGCGCCTCACTGGCTCCATTCACTTGAATGGAGAGCGACCTCTCCATTCAAATGAACGAGAGGTCTCCGGGACAAAGTGCGTCCTGTGGAACCTTCCATTGGACTTGAACATGATGCAGCCCGGAGCCTCGGCGGTCCCCTGGCCCAATGATCATGGCCCCCCCGCATCGGGGATGGTGTCTTGGGGCCGCCGCCGGAGGGCACCGAACACCGTTGGCAGCAATTCGCTAATATGTTTACCACAAGCCTCGCGATTTGCTGAACTCTGTCATGAATTCGAAGGGCGACGATGTCATGAAATTTTGAGCAATGCACGAATTAAAGTCATATATAAAATATATATATATATATATA